ACCTCAGGCTGTGGGAATCAGGAGCCTGGGAGGCAGCTCTGCACAAGGTAGCTTCCCAGCCTCATCCCGCTAAGAGCCCTCCTTGCTATGTGCCCACAGGCAGGAGCCCAGAACCAGTTGAGAGGCCTCTGGCCATCCTGTGGGCCTGGGGACTACTGGTGCCATCCTAGCCGAGGGCCCAGGGAATTTCTCCCAGAGGTTGGTCTGTGTCCAGCTCCTCCCCTCAGTCGTTCTGACCTTGCAGGGAGGGGCAGGGCTTGCAGAGCCAAAGGTGCTGCTGTGAGCTGGTGGCCCAGTGCTGCTCGGAGGGCAGGGCCTGTGCCTCAGGTCCCCCCCCCACCCCAGGCACATTTGGGGTTTGGAAACAAAGGTATTCCAAGAGATTCCTGGGCCAGCTGGGGCGGTAGGGAGGAAGGCTTGACTTGCCCTTCCTCATTTTGCAAATGAGCAAACAATAGGGAAAGCCGAGGGAAGGAGCGGGGCGAGAAAGGGGGGTGCCTGACAGCTTGGACCACCTGGACCCTGAGCCCCCACCTGCCTGGGGATGGGTCTCTGGTCACATTGCAGGGCTGTCATGAGGGTGAAACAAAGGCAACGTGGGCACTTGAAGCAGCAGAAATGGCTCAGAACCAGGAGCTGAGGGGCCATTGTCCACACAAGGCCCGAGGTACTGTAACACAAAGGGACCCATGGGGAGCCCAGCACCAAGTCACACAGCTAGGCCACCATGGGAGAGGGGTGGCCTCCAGGCAGCTGGGACCTCAATCCACAGGGGGCCAGGGATGGGGCCTAAGGAAGAGAAAGAGGAGGGAAATGGAAGCAGGCACAGGTGGTGGGGTCAGGACAGGTTAGACAGAGGGGACTCTGGTAGACTGGGACTTGGATGGAAGGAAAAGAAGGCCTGGAGCAAGAGTGACCGTGCAGATGGCACAGCTAGCATAGAAAGTCAGGCCAAAGGAGACAAGAGGGGTCCTTGGGAAGGGGGAATTTCGGGCCATTCATCCAGCACCCTCCTCCCACCTCCCTGCCCCCAATCCAAGCATGCCAGCATCTGCTTCCTCACCAGCAGGACAGTACTGGACCCTCCCTGCCCTAGGCCCCGAACCTACTGACCACCATTCAATCACATTCTCAGTCTCCAGATCCGTCCCTGAGCCCAGTCCTGCCTCCGGGTGGTTCACTGTCCTTGACCACACCCCATACCTCCCACACCAGCTCCAGTCTTGTGCCTTTGGCCCAGCTGGGCAGGTGGGGTATCTGCAAAGCTGCCCCCTCACTCCTTCACCTTGGTATGTGCACACAGCACAGACAAGGGTCCCTTGCTGGATCCTTTCCACCACTCACAGCCTGCCTTGCTGGTGCCAAAAGAGCCACACACACCGCTCTGTGGAGTGAGGAGGGCTCCGGGAATGCGGGGTATCCAAACCAGCCCTTGAAGACAGAGTAGCACTTGACTGGTTGGGCCTAGGGGAAGAAAGGCCCACCTGGCAGAGGAAACAGCGGGGGCAAAGGCCCAAACACATGAAACACTCCGTGGCTGGGTTGCAGAATTGGGGAATGGGACCGGCCAATGCAGGAAAGGTCTTGAATGTGAGAGGTCACAGGATTCCTGGGGGCCTTATTCCTGGTTCAGACCAAGTCCTTTGGAGGGAGGGGCTGCCCTGGGCCTCTGATCTGGGGCAAGATCTCTGGGCAGTAGAACTCATCCTAGAGGTTTTCGTAGACCAGGTTAAGTTCACTCTCATCCTCAAATCTATGTTGTTTCTCCTGGATAAAACAACAACAAAAAACAAACAAAGAAAGACCATTAGGGAGGAAAAGAGTGAGCCTGCACTAGTTTGGTTTTAGCCAGAGGCAGCAGATTGCTTCCTGTGTCGCTGTACAGGGCCTATCCTCTGTCCCCAAGCCCACCTCCCCACCACACTGCCCCCACCCATGCTTTCTGCCTTCCAGTCACAGAGGCTCCCTTTCCCAGCCTCAGGGCTGCCCCACATGCCTTCCCTCTCCTCAACCTGTTTCCTGACTGCCTCTTACTCACCCTGCCTATGGGCTGTCTTAATCTCCTAAGGATCCCCTTCTTCCTCCAGCCCTAGTCTGGTCCTTCCCTGAAGCCTGTCCCTCACAACAGGGCTACAAATGTGTCTGTGTGTCCTTGGGGGTCCGTGACCCTGCTCCTGCAGAGAGAAGTTCCCAGAGGCCAGGGACATGTCTAGTTCTCCTGTCCAGCACCCTAGGACTGGCACAGGGAAGGCTCTGCCTGAGATGACCCGGACATCCTTGGGGTCCTAGGGTGGGAAAACCCAGCTTCTAGTCAGGACCTACTTGAAGGCTGAGTATCATCGAAAGGACTTTGAAAATAGATATAACAAACAGTGCCAGCCTGAACCAGAGAAGGCCACGCACCAGCTCCCCACACTCCGTGACAGCTCTTCCAAGGTGCCTGTGAGCTCCTGTTCTGGCTAGATGATGATACCTTGCTCTTTCTAGTATTCAAAGTTCTGGTGCAGATGTTATTCAACTTGGAACTCACTTGAATCCAGGGGCAGTTGGTATTGAAGGAAAACATTACTCATCCACTTTACAGATGAGCAAAGCAAGGTTTAAAAGAGAAATTGTGATCAAGAACTGAGGCTCTGTCAGGACAATAACAGCACCTTGACCAGGCCAGCCCTGTTCCATCAGTTCACACTCCAGCTCTCATCTTTAGCCAACACCAGCCTGGTGGCAGCTAGAAACCTAAAAGCCCTTGCCTAATTGGCCAGTGTAGACACTGTGCCCTATGGTAGTTATGATTGCTCACACTGCATGCACAACCACTGTGTCCCGGGTAGCCCTCTCAGCATAACGTTCTACCCTTAGAATTCTATGAGGTGAGTACTGTTAGGTTCTTCAGTTTATAGAAGAGGTGGCTCAGGCACAGAGAAGTTAGATAACTGGGCCAGGGCTGCACAGCAGCCAAAACATGGAGCAGCTGCCTCCAGGGAGCACTAGGGTTTATCAGCAAGTGGCTCACTTCCACATCCTATTTAACCCCCACTTTGCAAGTGATGGGAAGGTCAGATGGAATGAGAAGCCAGGCTTGATGTCCCTGGGCCTGGATGTTGCTGATCCAGCCCCTTCATACCTGGACAAGAGGGCACCTGGCAGTGGGCGGGCTGCCGTCCTCACTCTCGATGCAGGCGTAGACCTCAGTCTCTCGGCGCTGCAGGGCCTGCGGGAGATAGGGTGTCAGGTCAGAGGCCGATGGGCAGAGGGGAGGCCCTGGGCCCCAGCAGCCGGCCTCCTGCCTGGGAGTCCTGGGAGCCATAGCCATGTGTAGCAGTCAGAGTTACTTGCCCCTTCACTGCTTGTGCAGGGCTGACTCCTCTCTGCTCCTGTCACCTCCCTTGAGGACCTCCGGCAGAGTCTTATGCCCCACCTGGTGGGCTCTATCCAGGCTTCTGCCTGGCTGGAAAGTGGGGCCCAGGCCTCCTCCCACCACCCCTGCCTGTCTTGGGCCCTTGAGGGCTTGGCAGCCGGCAGCCTCCTGCATGACACCTGGGGCCACTGCTCCAGTAGAATCCTAAAAGGGTAAACTGAGGCAAGGTGGGCCAGTACTGTGGGAAAGAGGAAGATTTGCAATACAGGGAGGTTAAAGTTTGCTCTCTACTTTCCACAGACAGAAAGCCTCTCCTGACATCTGCCTTCGCTTCCCTGGTTCCCGGCCTCTGTGAGGGTCCCACCTACCCATACCCTCTGGGTCTCCTCTGACACCCATACTAGCCTGTGCTCACCAATGACCTAGGCACTCATTAGGGTCACAGTTCTCACCCATCAAGCTTGTGCCCTGCTGGGAGATTTGGGAGTCCAGCCCTGGCTCTCAGCATACTCTCCTTCTCCCTGCTGCCTGTCATTTTTTTTCATCTCCCTTACCCCCACTTCTGGGCCAATTGGGCTCCAGCCATTACCCAAAAGCTCCTCCTTGGAGATCTTAAGCTCTCACCACCCACTCTCTGACCACAGCCCACTCCCCTTCCCCCAGCCCAAGCCTCCTTCCAGGACAGCCCGAGTGAGTGGTGAGCTTGGCTGGGGTTGGAGGCCAAGACCTGGACCTCCATGGCTCCCTGCACTGGGTCATATCAGAGTCCCACTCCCCATCAGCCTACTACCAGACTAGAAGTCGCTTTTTTTTTTTGAGTTGGAGTCTCCCTCTGTCACCCAGGCTGGAGGGCAGTGGCACGCTCCCAGCCACTGCAGCCTTGAGCTGATGGGCTCCAGCCATCCTTCTGCCTCAGTCTTCCAAGTAGCTGGAACTGCAGGCACACGCTACCATGCCTGACTAATTTTTTTTTATTTATTTTAGAGACAAGGTCTTGGCCAAGTTGCCCGGGCTCAGGCAATCCACTCACCTCGGCCTCCCAAAGTACTGAGATTACAGGCTGCCCCACCGAGCCCAGCCAATTTTTTAATTATTATTGTAGAGATGAGGTCTCACCAAGTTGTCCAGGCTGTTCTTGAATCCCTGGTCTCAGACAATCCTCTCACCTTCGTCTCCCAAAGTGCTGGGATTAAAAGCATGAGCCACCGTGCCCGACTAGAAATCTCTTGAGAGCAGAAACCGAGTCTGGTTTGTCTCTGGGTTTCTGATCCTTCAGCTGTGCTTGGCACAAAGAGAGCAGCACCAAGTGAATTAAGGTGAGGGGGCTTCTTGTTCATTGAGTTGTGTCCTAGGGGCCATACTCTAGTTCCAGCTAAGAAAGGTCTGACCAGAGGCCTCGAGATGGTAGAAAGAACCAATGCTGTGAAGTCAGACAAGACTAGGTTCAACTCCCAGCTTTTTTTTTTTTTTTTTTTTTGAGTTGGAGTCCCACTGTCACCCAGACTGGAGTGCAGTGGCATGCTCCCGGCCACCACAGTCTTGACCTGCTGGGCTCCGGCGATCCTTCCGCCTCAGCCTTCCAAATAGCCGGAACTACAGGCGCGCGCTACCATGCCTGGCTAATTTTTTGATTTATTGGAGAGATGAGGTCTCACCAAGTTGCCCAGGCAGTCTCGAACCCACGGGCTCAGGAAATCTACTCACCTCGGCCTCCCAAAGCTCTGAGATTACAGGCTGAGCCACCGAGCCCGGCCAACTCTCAGCTTTGACACCTGCCAGCTACAGGTAACTCCTTAAACCTTTCCATGACTCAGTTTCCCCATCCATAAAATGGGAATAGTCACATCTATTTTAAAGGCTCAATACGTGATTAAATGAGATATTGTGCATAAGGGGCCCTGCACATAGTCAGGCAAACAGTAGGTGCTTAATAAGCCACTGTTGAATGATCATCAGGGGAGATCAGATGCCTACACTCCTGCCCTCTCTTCGGCCACAGTCTGGAGCCTCCCTCAGAACCTGATGGACTCCAGAGCAGAGCCCAACAGCCTAAGCTGGAGGCAGAAGCCTTTCCTTCCCGAATGTACGTGTCATATGGATGCCGGCTGGTTGCCAAGGAGGCGGTTTCCCTGGCAACAGGCAAGCAGGGGTTGCTGAGGCAGGCTGGAGAGACAGGTGGTGCTCAGAGGCAGGAGGAGGGCGGGGAGGCGGGAGGGGAGGAGGAAGGGAGGCGCCAAGAGGCAGCTGGGCATGAAAATCCGTGTAATAAACCATTTGGCGCTTGGGAGACCCGCACTTCAAGGGCATCAGACACGGGGGTGGTGGAGTGGCCCTGGGGACCAGTTCAAGGGGCCTCTGAGCCAGAAACGGTGAGTCATGGGAGAGGGGCTTCCAAACTGCCTCTGAGTTGAGAAGGGGGCAGAACTGCCCCCAAGGAAAAGCCCGATTTTCAGTGTAAAGAAACTTCCGAGGCCTGCTCTGGTTTGCGTGGTCTTCATGCCTGCCCAGAGTACTAGCTACCCCCAGCAAGCCTGGTGCATGGATAGGCATATATATGTTTCTCAGCAGCCTTGTGCCTCCCACTCTCTGTCCACCTAGGCCTGGACCCCTCCGAGGTCTGGCAGATCTGACAGTCCCACAGAGCTGAACATTTCTGGTCACAGAGGGAAGGGAGGGAAACAGCCTGCTGGCTGGCATCTCGGCAGGGGAAGCAGATCTGGGGTCCCACAGGTGGTTCCCTCTCCCTCCTGCCTGGCACCCATGAGCCCAGAGAGGCCGGGGATACAGCACACAGAGCCAGAGAAGAGCACCCTACCCTGGGACCCCACAGGCCTCTAACCCACACTGCGGGTGAGTGGGTGATTGTGCAGCGGACAGGGCAGGAGCAGCTGTGGGGGCTGAGGGCAAGGAAGGCCAGGAGGTGGCCACCAATTAGCAGCTGCTGAGTGAAGCCTTTGACAAGTCCTGACCTGCTGGGCTGCATTTGTATTCAGGGTGTGACCTGCATCACCAGGCTGTGAAATGCAGGGTGCAGCCTTGTCAACAGGACACCCTCTGAGCTCTGAGCAGCCCCTCCTGGTCCTCCTGGGTGATGATGTGGACCGCCTCCCTGAGGCTGCCTGCTGAGGGAAGACTGAGCAGGACTCTGAATGGGCTGCCTGTGGGCCTGAGCTGGGCTGGGTTGGGGGCTGGGGCTGGGCCTTGGGACTGGGGTCTGGGCTGGGGGCTGAGGGCTGGGAACTGGGGGCTGGGCTGGGGGCTTAGGACTCAGCTGGGCTGGGTTGAGCTGGACTTGGCTGGGAGCTGGAAGCTGAGGGTAGGGGCTGAATCAGACTCAGCTGTGTCTGTCTGTAACCCGGGCCTTCCAGGCCCTTTTGCTCTCTACTTTCCAATAGGCAGTAGCATTGACCCAAATGGTTATCAGTCTGACAGAGGTGCAAAGTCAGTGCCAAGATCTTCCTCTAGGCAAGCTGAGGCCAGCCCTGAAGCCACCTGTTCTTGGTCGGACCTAATCTGAAGGTCTTGGACATTGGGGGTAATGTGTGAGACTGGGGGCTATTGTTCAGAAAGGAGCACACTCAGTGTAGCACCTGAGGAGCCTCCGAAGGCCTTTCTAACTCCACATCAGAGTCTTGTGTTAGAACAGTCCCTCCAGCTGCAGGGGGGAGCAGAAAAGGAGGGACCAGAGGCAAGAACAAGATGGAGACACCGGCCAGGCAGGGGCTAGGAGGGAGCTGCAGGAGGGGTCTGGATGCTGCCGAGAGAAGATATGAATCAGTGTTCCACACTTGCCACGGGGTGTCTCCTCTACCCTGGGTTGGTGCTCATGGAACCCCAGACACCTAGAAGGTAAGAATGGTCTTCTGTCTATCCATGTGGCAGTTGAACACTGAGCACCTACTGTGTACTGGGAACTGGGCTGGTGTGAGGTGAGGAGGGATCTTGGGACTAAAAGTACTCATGAAAATAAAAGATGGCCATAAAGGTGCTGCAATGATGCAAAGAAGGAAGACAGGGATGAGAGTGGAAGACGGGAATGGGAAGGTTGTGATTTTAAGAGGGAGATCTGGAAAGGCAGCACTGAAAAGGTCCCACCAGAACAGAGAACTGAAGGACTGAGGGGGTGACCGTGGACAGCATTAGGAAGGATGTTCAGCAGAGGGAACAGCCAGCACAAATGCCGTGGGGCAGAGGTGTACCTGGGGTATCCCCTTGGAGGACATGTGAACAAAGCCACAGTAAGGGTGCTGACTTCGACCCTCAGTGAGGTGGACACCTCTGGGGGACCGTGATGGCTATGATAATTGCTTTGCAGACCTCCATTTCCAGGAACCAGAATTGACCAAGGACTCGAAATTGACCAGCTGCTGGGCTCTGAAATCCATCACCATGTTTGCACAAAGACATCATGCCTCTGACTTGGGCGCTCCTACAGCTTGAGATGGTGGGATGGCTTAGGGTGCTCCCCTTGGGTTTCCTTCCCCCAGGATCAGACCTGCACCACTGTGCAACTGCTCTCCTAGTCTTTTCCAGCCCTTCCTCATTTTCTCTCACAGGAGGTTTCTCTGATTAAATCCCTGCTCATCTAATCCCGTCTTGGCGTCTGCTTCTCACAGGATCTAGACTCACCAAGAGCTCTGAGTGAGGGCCATGATCTGTCGACGGCTTAACAGGATCACTCTGGCTGCTGCCAGGTGGAAAACAGACTGGAGGGAAGGTTGGTGGGGGGGGGGTGGATAAAAATAGGCCAGCTGCTTAGAGACTGACTGCAGGACTCCAGGTAAGAAATGGAGTGGCTCAGCCAGGCTCAGTAACTCAGCCTGTAATCCCGCGCCTTTGGAAGGCTGAGGTGA